GCAGGACGCTGGTATGAGTCCAGATTATGTGTTGTTTTATGTTTTCTGTAGATCAAAAACACAACAATACCACCCAAAAGAAGGACAGCAGAAACTGCCACACCGACAGAGCTATGCCTCCCTATCTTCTCACTTCCCCGTTCCTCCTTCCCTCCATCCTCTGTGTCTCCTCCTGTCTGAGCTGCAGGTGAGAAACAGGTGTGAGGTGTCAGCTGTCAGGTAGGTGATGAGTGAAGAACAGAACAGAATCCATTTCCTCTTCAAACTGCTGTCAGACATTATCTACTGCACTCTGATCACATCACTCAGACCAGCTGCTTTCTACAAAGTCTCATCAACAACATATTTAGAAACAAACATCAACAAGCAGGAAGCAGCTTCACCTCTGATCACACACACACTCAACTCTACTCACTCACCTGGAGGAACAACATTCAGGCTGATGATGATGACGGGGTCGTCATCCTGATTCGCTCTCTTCCTGCGATTTATTTTTGTCTCAACACGACACTCGTATCTTCCGCGGTCATCAAGCGTCACACTTCTTCAGAATCAGAGACACGTCTCCATCCTTCATCTGTCTGTCCTGTAGCTCCACTCGGTTCTTAAACGATGGATGCTGGTTCTCTAGATCAAACCGCTCATCCCGGTACAAAAGTAAATATCCTTTCCTAAGACCATGTTTGCTCCACTCCAGAAATGTGACGAGGTTGTTGTTGTTGGCTCTGCATGACAAAGTGACGTTCTGTCCAGATTCAGCTGTGATGTTTACGAGGTCTACAGGACAAAAGAGACAACTGGTGTGTATTAAGCTGACAAATTCTGTTATTCTGCAATTAGAGATCACCACATGTAATATGTGATACAGGTTTTGATATAACAATCTGTGAGGTCACAAGTTTGGGCTCTCCCATAATTATTAGAGCTAAAAAGAAAGAAAGAAAAAGACTCTTTAGACATTTCTTGGTGACATGAGGGTGATTTCCCAGTGACATCCATCAGATATAAAACTCTTATAAACAGGATATGGTTATAGGTTCCACACCCACATGCTAAAGGCTGCAAAACAGTTCTGAGGCAAAAACCTGTAACTGAAACCCACACAACTCTTCTTGGTTTTTCGGTATTAAGATACTATGCTCCTATACAGGAAACATGCTTGTTAATGAGATACATTTGGTTATGATATGCATTTGGTTCAATGATTTATAAATAATCACCTGAACATAAAGACAGACAACCAGTCACACCCAGACCTACGGGCAATTTAGAATCATCAAGTAACCTAACCCCACTTACTGCATGTCTTCGGACTGTGGGAGGAAGCCAAAACAAGTGGAGAGAAGCCATGCAAACATGGAGAGAACATGCAAACTTCACACAGAAAGACTTGCTGCCCAACATAAAATGTCAGTCTACTAATAAATCTATTAAATTATGTCATATTATTTTGAATTAAATCTCACCAATCTTAACAAGGGGAATGAAATCAGCTCCAGATTTAAGATTATGACATACACATTAAAGGGACACATATACATATATGTATGCATGTACATATGTGTTGGAGATTCCCCACATTGTCCAAAAAGTCACACACACACACTCACATGCAGCTGCTGACAGGCAGAAGTGAAGAAACAATAACGTCCAGCAGTGCGACAGCTGCCCGGCTCTCTCCATGCTCTCAAGCTGAGTAGATTAGAATTTCAACGGCTCTTTGTTGACATCAAATGGGAGGAGCTCTTATGACGTTAGTTTCCAAATAGAGATTACAGGCATCATAATTACAGCCCATTAAAACAAACAAAAAAAACATTAGATATGAAAATATAATCCAGGCTTTGAAAACAGCCAGGTTAACCCCCATCTTTCTTAAATAACGTATATTTCTAGCCAAAAAAAGATGCAATACTGATTACAGTAGTCACATCGGGTGACAATGTTGTACTTTTAAAAATGATCTCATATGTTGTTTTAATAATCAGGTTTTTACAACACATATTAAGCGATCTGCGTGTTTTCTCTGGGAGAGTTTAAGGACATATGGAAATCTTTCAGCTCGCTCCTTTCATAATCCAAATAATTTGTGAACTAAAAACTAAAAAAAATTTGATATGACCATCAGTCTGTTTAGGATGACGGTGTTGAATGGATCTGTAGTCTATAAACAGCATTCAAACATAGGTGTCCTCATATTCGAGGTGTGAGAAGGCTGTGTGGATGGCTGCAGTAACGGCATCTTCAGTGGATTCTTTTGATATGCAAATTACAGAGGGCTCAATGTGTCCGGAATGACAAATAGTTGAAATAACAGTAAAGATTTTGACCAGCAGAGGGGGTTTATGTGCATATGAAGCCTCAAAAAACTAACCATTTTTTGAACCAATTGGATGTAAAGCTTCCAGGAATCGTAAGGCTTCATTTGGCCATCACTACCAGAGAAACAAATATCTCCAATGCTCTCACAGCAGAAGACAGAATGCTCTCATCACCATCAACAATGATGAGTGCTGACAACGCACAACTTGTCACGGTGGTTGCGTGGCTGGCAGAGGTAGTGTCATGGCGAGGTATGCCCGTGTGTTTTAGCCAGGGACTCAAAGGCAGACAGGGAGGGAGACGAAACTGAGCTACAAAAACACGAGCCTTTATTGTGGCTGATAACATGAATACACAACTGAAACGAAGGCAAACAGGGGCAAGAGTTAAATGTAACACTAAACAACTATGGCAATGACTATATACACATGGAGGGAGGCAACACAGACGATCCGACGAAGACTGAAAGAAAACACACAGACTAAGAGGTGATCAAGGGAAGTGGAAACACACGATGAGACAGCTGACTAGAATGAACATAGTGATGCCACAGGGGAAGTAAAACAAAACATGGAAACGAGACTTTCAAAATAAACAGTAAACCTGACGAGAGAGACATGACATGAACTTAATAACATGAACCAACAAGGGAGACTAAAACACAGGGGCTGATGACACGAGAGGATCCAATAAACAAATCACTAAAACAGCCACCGGGGCCTGATAGAAATTAACGAGATAAGCTAAAATGAAACTGGAAAACAAATGAATAATAAAATATATTGAAATGCAAAGCACTGGGTCACATAACCCAGGACCATGACAGGTGGGACCCAAATAAAGAACTCAGAAACATGAGAAGTACACTAATAGCTAATATTGTCTGTTTGAAGCTGAATCTCCAGCGCATGCATCTAAAAAAATCAGTGCATTGCTTCAGAAGCCCTGGTTTGTTTAAACAGGGCAACGTGATCACAGAGGTCCGAAGCTTCATTCAGTGCATCACTGCTTCAGTACCTGATTCAGTGGGTTATAAGGAAGTGAAGAATTGGCAGGATTCATGTGGTGTGTTGGTGATTTTGTGCAAATGTTCTGCTTCTTCATAAAAAAAAGAAAACCAGCAGGTCATTCAGTGTTCCCTTAGCACTAATGTATCAGAGATGTTGGTGCACTATATCTGAAGTAATGTTGTTAAGTCCTTAAAGTCATATTCTTTTATTGTCATGACTCTATTTTTATTTTTGTATGATACCTGATTTAAATGGAATATGGCTGAAGTCTAAAATACTTAGTCAGTCATTTGTTTAATAGTAATTTAACATTATATAATTCACATATGAAACTATGAATTGTGATTTTAAATGGTTTAAAAATTCTACATAGGCAAGTTTTTTCTCCTTTTGTTATCAAGAAGCAAAAACAAAAAGGAAAAAAAAAAGAAACAAGGCAGGGTTCTGTGGTTGAACTGCAATCACAGATCATACGATTAAAAAGGAATTATGAGTAATAAGAACTTCCTGCTTGTTTACATTACAGAGAAACATCCAAACCTGAATGGTTCACTGCATTCTTAAAGCTGCAGAGTACAGGAAGTTCTTCATGAAGCTCTTCCTACTTTATTTTCTTATTTTCATTCAGGATGCATTTCTGAGATCATCTGCAGCTGTTAATTTTAATTATGCTCATGTACATGGAAAATATGGTTTTCTTTTTTAATTCATATAAATAGTACATTTTGATGTTTCACACAGGACACAGGATTTCTGTTTAGTTTCAGATTTATATTTATCTCCACAGTTTTTACACTCTAGATAGAAATGAACACGTTTTTATAAACGGACATGTTTGAGGTCTAGAACTAACATCACGTCTCTTTTCTAAATCCCATGGACTCATGGACTATTTTTTCCCCAGTTTACCTCATTTAAATATGTATTTGGTTCTCTTCCAGAGCACCACAGGACAATCACAACACAACATGTATGTAGAGATGGAACATATTTTTTTGAGTGGATGGATTTGCAATGTTTAATTTTTTTTTATTAAATTGTGCAAGTTTTTTGTCATCTCTCAGATCAGTAATATATGAGTTTAACATGTCTGATTTAAAACAAAACAAAACACACTCTTCTGACTCTGTGTTGATTAAGATTGTGATGGTGGATGTAGTTCTTCCAGGGTATTTCAAACAAATAAAATTCATCACAATGTTTTAAAAAAAAGAATAAGTACAATTTTTTTCTCTTCCTCATGATCAACTTTACTCCTTCCTGTTTAAAAGCCTTCAGCATATCTGATGCCAGTTAAGCTAACAGAAATATTAGACCAGCCAAACTGAAGACAGATGGAGCTACACTGCAGTGAGAGTTCACCTGTGAGCTTTGCAAACAGTTTCAAGTTTAAAACATACGAGCATATTATCCAGTTCTGCTGTAAATGGCCTGCATTTATATAGCGCTTTACTAGTTTACCAGCGCTTTGCTAGTTTACTTTACTTTCACACACTGGTGATGGCAAGCTACATTGTAGCCACAGCCACCCTGGGGCGCACTGACAGAGGTGAGGCTGCCGGACACTGGCGCCACCGGGCCCTCTGACCACCACCAGTAGGCAACAGGTGAAGTGTCTTGCCCAAGGACACAACGACCAAGACTGTCCAAGCCGGGGCTCGAACCGGCAACCTTCCGATTACAAGGCGAACTCCCAACTCTTGAGCCACGATCGCCCCACATGTACACATGTAATATTAATTTACATAATGAGCTCCTCAGCCATGCTGACTATTTGGTCACTATGAATTAAGCGACAACGTGATCACTTTTAATTCATGAGGGAGGAAACACTGAAGCTCATTTAGTTTGCGTTTAAAGACTTCAAATAAGTCATATTGCTGTAGTTTTTCTCAGCAGGAAATCTTAGTGAGAAAATCTGTTTATCTATGTTGAGTTTTTACCTCATGTGACAGAGGTAGAGTAACAGGAACAACAGCAGATTATCCACCTCACCCTAGCAACCAATGTTTTCACTGTAACTATAAACAGAGTGTTTAATGGGCAGGACACAGTTGCATTGTTGCCATGTGTACATGGCTCAGAAAAAACACTATTATGCAGCTGTATTATTATTTATCGTTTAAAAATATGATTCCAGGTGGACATTTGACTCCCACACTAGGGTTTGCTCTGGACTTTCCTCTCAGTCAGTAAGAGATAACGTGTCAGTTAGCACTTTGTGACGGTGTCTGCACAGCAGCTGTTTCCATTACTTACACCTCTCTTCAAACCATAAACCCCACTGTGAGCACAAAGACCTCCCACTATCCCTGTATCAGATGCATCTCATTTCAAAGCAAACATATGTGCTCACATGTGTCCGCAGAATTCCCCTTCAGGGTCTCCATGGCCCAAAAGGGCGAGCCCAAACAAAGGTCCCTGATGGGTGGTGTCAGGAAGAGAAGCTGGTGTAGAAATGACATTTTTAGCGACCCTTGGTGAATAAGGGAGTTGCAATATGTACCACGGGACATGTTCAATGGACTGTACAGTCCATTGAGCATGTTTACTGAGTCGGGCTGATTTTCTACACACAGTTGATGAGAGGATTTGAAGCATCATCAGGACACTGTAGAAGCTGTAGAATCTGAGACATTTCAAATAGTCATCACTTCAGAAGGAGGCTGGTAGTCATCTGGACCCTGAATTTGTCTTTTGCGTTTTGTGTAGATCTGTACAGCAAGAACACCAAAGACAAGAACAGTGGGAACTGCCACAATGAGAATACTGTTACGACTTCTTTGTCCCTTCTTCCCTCCATCCTCCTCGTCACCTCCCGGCTGCCCTGTAGGTTATAAACAGGTGTCAGACATACGCACCAGCTGCTTTCTACAAAGTCTCATCAACAACATCTTTAGAAACAAACATCAACAAGCAGGAAGCAGCTTCACCTCTGATCACACACACACTCAACTCTGCTCACTCACCTGGAGGAACAACATTCAGGCTGATGATGATGATGGGGTCGTCATCCTGATTCGCTCTCTTTTTGCGGTTCATTTTTGTCTCAACACGACACTCGTAACTTCCACGGTCATCAAGCGTCACATCCTTCAGTATCAACGCCACGTCTCCATCCTTCATCTGTCTGTCCTGTAGCTCCACTCGGTTCTTAAACGATGGATGCTGGTTCTCTAGATCAAACCGCTCATCCCGGTACAAAAGTAAATATCCTTTCCTAAGACCATGTTTGCTCCACTCAAGAAATGTGACGAGGTTGTTGTTGTTGGCTCTGCATGACAAAGTGACGTTCTGTCCAGATTCAGCTGTGATGTTTACGAGGTCTACAGGACAAAAGAGACAACTGGTGTGTATTAAGCAGACAAATTCTGTTATCCTGCAATTAGAGATCACCACATGTAATATGTGATACAGGTATGGATACAACAATCTATGAGGTCACATAGTTAGGATCTCCCTAATTGTTAGAGTTAAAAAAGGAAAAACCCATTTGGGAAATCCCTTGGGGAGCTCCTAAGACAAACATGTAGTCACAGGCACCTTGAATAACCTGTTCCTGCTAAAGGTCTCTGCTGAGAAAACACACAGATCCTCTTCCTGTATCCTCTTTCAGTAATGAAGCTATGTTCCTTTATAGTAAATGTGTGCGTGTGTGTGTGTGTGCGTGTGTGTGTGCGTGTGTGTGTGCGTGTGTGTGTGTGTGTGTGTGTGCGCGTGTGTGTGCGTGTGCGTGTGCGTGTGTGTGTGTGTGTGTGTCGGTGTTTTTGTGTTTGTTAAGGTGATACATTTGCTTCAAGATTTTATATTCATGAAACAAACAAATATGTGTCACTTAAAAATATAATTATTAGTCACTCTACCAATGAATGATTTCATATTATTCTGGAAAGTCTTAACTCAGTGAATGAAATAAGCTGCAGCTTCAAGCTTAAGTGACATACACATTAATCAGTCAATTACTGACAACAACTGAAATGACACACACACACAGATAGCAACAGTGCAGAAATTATTTACTATGTAAAAGTACAGATACTTAACCTCTGAGTACAACTATATAAATGATACATAAATGTAATGCTTTAGCCTCTTTACTCTCTTTGCATGCAATAAGCTCTGTTGGTACAGCTACATGAAAATTCTACTTAAGTAAAAAAGTATTTGAAGCTCACTTCTTGCCTCTGCACACTCAGAAACACTCACCTGCAGCAGCAGTCAGGGAGGAGTGGAGAAACAACAAAGCCCAGCAGTGCGACAGCAGCCGTCCTCGCTCCATGCTCTCAAGTTGTTGATTTGAAGCTCAACGGTTCTGGCTTCAGGTCAACAGGAGGGGAGGAACTCTTCCTCACTCAACACGTTTAACAGGAAAGGGAGGTTATAATTCTGAACAAACATTAAAGATGAAAAATAATCTCTTTGAAAACAGATCACTTTCTCATCTCTCAACTAAAGAACACTTTTTATTTTTATTTGTCTTTTATTTATCCAGGTAAAAAATCTCATTGAGATTAAAAATCTCATTTTCAGGAGAGACCTGGCATCAACATATCTAGCAAAAGAAAAAAAGACTGATTAGAAAACATTTGCACACACATCTGGTTACACTGTCCTCCTTTAAAAAAAAAATCCTTATTTTTTATTAAAGGCTTCATTTCACAACCAAAACTAAGATAAAGTGACCTGAGTTTTTTCTTTGGAAGATTTCAAGGAAATACAAAAATACAGAGCTCTTGTATCTGTAGACCAAATAAAGTTAAAAAGGCTGTTAACTCATTCACTGCCAGCCATTGGCAGTGAATGAGTTAAACCCATTGACTCATGCACTGCAATTGACGGCTATAGATGTCAATGGCAGTGAATGAGTTAATAGAGTTGTTTTATGTGGAAGGTTTTTTAATTAATTCTGTACAAACACTCCCTTTATTATGCAGTCTCAGGAAACAGCAGATACTATTTTATCCAATAAGCTGATTTTTAGGGCTAATTCGCTGTTATGAAGGGAGAAGAAGTATGGAGAGCAGGGCTTGTACTTGTGGATTGTGATAGTGGATGGAAATCAAAAAGATGAGTAGCTTAACAAGTGTGCACGACTTACTTCATAATTGACTAATTTTATTTAATGAGGTGTTTTCAGTGACATAGAAGTGGCTTCATTTGTGGAAAACATCCTTGAAAACACAGCACAGGTGTGAGAAAAGGTCACTGTGGTCAGACCGAGCAGGTGAGCTAAGGAGGGAATCAGGGAAAATAGTGACAGTCTCAGTGAAGATGGCTTTGAGGTTGTGATTTGCCGGCATTACATATTCCTCATGTGTATGTTTCCCTCTCAGAACCCTCAACCAGTATCAGAATAAAGTGGACCTACAGCCTTGTCTGTCTCTATTGTAAACCAAGGCCTGTGGTCTCAAATACAAGCTAAATGTGTTTCACCTCACATTAATTTTAACTTAGGCAATACAACTTGATCTTCTTGAATTTCTTCCATGTGGCAGCTTTGTCGTTATAACATTTAAACAAAGCTTCCTGGTTGACCTGTTGTGCTGGAACGGGCCTGATTCAGGTTTGTTTTGTATAATGAGCTACAGCTGAACACACTGCAGACACAGCTGAAGGAAGCCAAGGCTCATCCAAGTGCATGTTGAGGTTTATTTTTCTGAAACACGGCAAAACAGCAGCTCTGTGTCACTGACGGCTTCCATTACAATGACTGGCCTGCATTACTTTTGTAAGGGATTACTTTGCCAGTCACTCATTTGTCTGAGCCGCCACTGGCACCTACTGGCGGAACTTAATATCACCCTAACACCACATCAGATGGGAGCAAATTTCGCTCTGTTCAATGATGTAAACCAGGGGTAAGCAACTCCAGGCCTCGAGTGCCGGTATCCTGCAGGTTTTAGATCTCACTCTGGGTCAACACACCTGAATCACATGATAAGTTCATTACCAGGCCTCTGGAGAACTTCAAGACATGTTGAAGAGTTAATTTAGCCATTTAAATCAGCTGTGTTGGATCAAGAACATCTAAAACCTGCAGGACACTGGCCCTCGAGGCCTGGAGTTTCCCACCCCTGATGTAAACTATTGTAACAACAAAAGCAAAAAAAGGTGGCCAGGTTTTATTACACACTTAAAATATTCAGGGTGCCACATGTCAGCACATCAGAAAGCAATTACGATGATGAGGATGTGCAACTACACGTCAACACAAGAGGTGTGGATGTTACTTTGTGACCAGATGCAACCTTTGTCCATATTTAATGTGATAGTAATCATCATTAAGGGCACACAGTAAGATGAGGGATCCGGACCCCAAATTGCTCTCCGATGTGTGAATGTTAGCTAGAAAGCACTTAGAAAAATGTGCTTGTGCACAAGTGAATGCACAAGTTGTATAAAGTGCTTTAGGAGAAAGAGTAAGATGAGGGAACTTTAACAAGAAGTATAAAAAGAAAATATACTAAACTATAAAAAGGTCTAACAGTAAAGCTGTAAATAATCACAATTTCTTAAAATCCTAATAATAGAAAAAGCACAAACACCCTGAAATCATGACCTCAGCAGTTACAGCCACACTCTTTATAAACTACAGCCAAGCAAATGTCTCCATCTACTGGTGATGGCTTTAGAATGAAGTGCTTATTGTGCGCATTTACAAACTCGTAAACGTTACATGCTCTAGTTTTTAAAGTGCAGTATTCTGGGACTGCACAATATTTCTGTCTGCTTGTATCCTGATCTTATATAAACGTATGTTTACAGCAACGGGACAAATGGTAGCTGGGAAACGGTCCAAATATTTATTTTTTCTTCACATATTATTAAATATTACATAAATTTATCACATCGTCTTCTATTATCCTGTTAAACTTCTTAGTCTGACCTTAAGTCAAGTGCTCCAATTTAAAATCCATACTGCAAAGCACCCACACACAAGAAAACAAATTGACAAGAAGAAAAGCTGAGACAACAAAAACAACTTTCTGTGTGGCTTGACCTCGTTTCTATGAACAAATCCGGTTAACATTTAACTGTACATGTACATTTTTCTGTTCTTTTTTTTTTTCTTTCTTTTTATCGGTTTTAACAGGGGAAATGACGCCAAGGTTTCCACCAGGTTTGCTGGGGAGGAAGAGGGAGGGCTTAAATTGGGGCAACTGACAAAAATCAATAAAAGAAAAAAAACTTGAAGTTAGTGCGAAGGACAATGGAGGAAACGTGTTTGCGCTGCCTGCTCTGTGAGTAAAATCTCTCAGTTTAAACAATGTTTATTTTTTTTGATTGTTTAAAGTCTTCTTTGTTGCTAAGTGATAACAGATGGCAGACATTTCCACAGAAAAAAGTTAAGGGAAATTAAAAAACGAGTTAACAGCAATATTACCTGGAAACTTTGTATAACTGATAGTAATTAGGCAGTGAGTCGTGAATAGTTTGCAATGTTTACATTGGTAACATCCAAAATCACAACAAAAAGTAAAAATGATCATATGTTTTGCTTTCCAATAAATGTATTAATAAAGCATAAATACCATCACCGTCTAAGTAACACCACTGTCATTTTTATCTTTCTTCTAAAACAATGCTTGAGAGCAGGACAGCCTGTTCGTGTCAGTAACACATACACCTGCATGAGTCGTTGTTTTATTTTGAAATAAACCCAGAAATCAAATCCAAAGTTGCTAATCTAATATTTAACATTACCTACCACAGAAGCTCTAATGGTATGGAGATGAACTACAGCATCCACTGTTCTCTATTTTGCACAGCAGTAGAGACAAAATCAGCAGTGAGGCATACAGTACGACCCGAGTTTGTCATGTTTTTCTTCAGGGTTATTGTGTTAAACTTATAACCATCTCTTTCCAGCTGTGATCTCACTGCTGAGCTGTGCAACACACCAAGGTCAGTAACCTTCTTCTGTGTCTGCTTACATCTGTTAAATGCTCAGAATGAAGTTGTGTTATCAACACAAAATAAATGTTTTTCTCTTCTCAGGGATTCAGTAACTGGTTAGATACAGTACACCACAGAATCAAATAACCTGCTCTTAATCTGTTGAGATTTAGTTACAGCCACACAAAGTTTCATGTATTTAGATTTAGTTGTTTTATGAAATGATATGTCAGGTATTTTTTTTTACAATAACAAAAGTCTCAACATTATTTCATTGTAACCCTCACAGCTCGTCTGACTGTGAGTCCCAGCAGCTCTCAGTTCTTTAAAAGAGACTTTGTGTCTCTGAGCTGTGAGGAGGACGACAGCTCTGCTGGATGGACTCTGTGGAGAAACACAAGCAAACAACAGAGGACTCAGTGTGGAGATGGGTGGGGAAAACTAGCTGCTTCTTCCTGTGAAATCAGCAAACTATATGAATCAGACAGTGGAGTTTACTGGTGTGAGTCCAGAGAGGGTCCCATCAGTAACATGGTTAACCTGACAGTCACTGGTAAGCTGAGTGTGTGGAGTTAGTGTTGATGAAGCTGTGTGTAAATGGATGAAATGCTGTAGTTTGTCTCTGTGTTGAGGTGGATCAGTGATCCTGCAGAGTCCTGTCCTCCCTGTGATGGAGGGAGATGACGTCACTCTGCTCTGTACAACAAAGACCACTCCCTCCAACCTCCCAGCTGCTTTCTATAAAGATGGCTCCCTCATTGGGGATGAGACTACAGGTCACATGACCATCCAGCATGTTTCCAGGTCTGATGAAGGCCACTACAAGTGTAACATCAGCGGTCATGGAGAGTCTCCATCCAGCTGGATCACTGTCACAGGTGACACACTCACCTGTCTGTGTTTCTGCAGCTTTCAACACTCACAATGTGACGACAACTTAATGACTGTGTTTGCTTTATTTTAGGGGAACACACCACCACACCTCCACCTACATCCACACCGACACCAGTCTCCATTATTACCTCTCCTCCTGATTCATTCTTGCTTCTCTCTGTGTTGTTGCCTGTTGGATCAGTGTGTGTTGTGGTTCTGCTGGTGTTAGTGGTTCTATTGGTGAGACAAAGTGTTTGTAGGAAGTCTGCAGGTGAGAATGAGAAATATAACGTAGAGAGTTATGTAAACTATTTGTTACATGTTATCTACTAACAAGTATTCGTTAAGATCACTGTGCTAAATTAATTTGGTGTTCGTGTTGGTTTGTTTCAGTTGATTTGGAAAAAGCTGAAGATGGCCTCACATACAGTGATCTCAAAGAATTACATCACCAACAACAGTCAGTTAAACTACACACAGGTAGATTTTTATGTACTTTGTGTTTGTGTTCTTCAATTTCACAAACAACATTTACAGAATTTGCTTTCTAGTATTTTCATCTAAGCCTCGCTTATATCCATAATGGTTAAATCTTCAGCTGGGCTGAGACTATAAATTGTGTTTAAAAATGTTTAAAAGAGAGCAATGTGTAATGTCACACAACATTTTCTTCCATATACATCTTAAGGCATTTTCAAGTGTCATTGTTATTGTTTTAACCTTTGTTGTCTCGTTTGTTTGGAGCCAGAAGTAACTATAATTCGAAGAGAAGGTTTTGCTAATTTAACAGCTATTGCTGTTAACAGCTGGACCGTTATTGGTACCTTCTGGGAAAGTTATGCAGAAAAAGGCTTTGAGCTTTTATGCTTTGCACCTTACATTAACATGCACCTTAAACTATTCACTTAAATCAGTTCAATTCTAAAATGATCACACTGTAGTTGTTCTGTGTTTGTAGATGACGATTGGTGAATTTTGTTCTCTTAATGCTGGTCTGTGTCTTTATTAGCTCAAAGTTGGTTTTAGACAAGCAAGCAATTTATTTATATAGAACTTTCAGAACAACTCCCAGCTGAAAACAAAGAGCTGTACACCTGACATGCAGGTAAAAAAAATAAAAATAAAAATTAAATGATAATTGGAATGACATTTAAAATAATAAAATTAGCATATTAGATTAAAACAATAAAACCAGGGTCATACTGTGTGTAACAGAGGTTAACAGCCTGTGGTCAATCAGTTTGATGTCTCTGCTCAGGTTTTACTGCAGGCCTGTTAAGAAAAGAGGAAACATGTAGATGAACAGTTTGTACAAACAGTAAATTAAATCTCCTCATAGTTCTTGTCACCTGTATCCAAATTCTGAGTTTTAGTTTTATGTAGTTAATCATTTTATAGTTTGCGTGATATACTGACCTTTTGACCAGATAACACATTTCCCTGTAGTTAACATGTGAATAGAGTAACCACAGTCCGTCAGTTCACATATAACATTCTGTATCAGTTCTGTTTTTGTTTTTCACAGCAGTACCAATAGAAGAAATAAAACTGTTGAGTGCCTCACTGTTTCTCATGACTGTTACGTGATAAAGAGAGTTTTTACAGGGCTCTATGCAATCCTATGCAAAACAAACTATAACCTTCTGAGGCAGACATTTGGGTAGTTTGCTAAGTTGTGTCTGAGCATAGCACAGACTTCAGGAACAATGTCTTTTTTTTTAACATAGGACAGGGACGCATTGGAGATTACTGGCCAGAATGTGCACATCAACACCTCATACCAGCTTTAGACATGGCAGTGGAATAGTCCTCTTTGTTTCAACATATTCTAGAGCCAAATGTGAGGCCGTTTGTCCAAAAGACTTTGGGTCTTTTTTCATATCTCTCAAGTTTTTATGTAGTTCATTGGGTTTATATGTGTTGTAAATACTAGGATGCTGTTCGATTATCTGTGGTCGGTCTTGTTTGCACTTTGCTCACGCGTTGCAGTATAGTTGGAGCTCCAGAAACCTGCAAAGCTGCTTAGCAGTGTTCACACTGATGTGTTTTGATAAAGCTGTTAATGGAGATGAAGAGATTAAATGACTCATCTGCAGCTCACAGTTGAATTCAACAGTAACAGGAAGGTAAACTAGTTTAAATGTTGTCTGTTGTTATGTGCGTTATCTCTGAGTGTCACTTCCTGTTATAACACACAACAATTTAATAAAAAAAACATAGATAACTTCTTATTGCATTGTATAATCTTCACATATTTCATCCAAAGCACACGCTCTGTTTATTAACTCGCTAATTTATATTTAAAGTTTTCACTCAATGTGTCTTTAGGGTTTAATAGCTTAGCTTAGCTATTAGCTGACTTGCTAGCAGCATGGCCTCTTCACCTGTCCCTCCTGCACTTTCCTGCTCATTGTGTCAGATGTTTAGTTACTTAGTACCCGTCTTTTCCCCACTCGGCCACACCCACTGAGGGTCAAACTCAGGTAATTGGCAATTCTGTTCTCAGACATGTGAAGCTAGAGACACCGGCAACCATAGTCAATTGTCTTCCAGGAGCCCGAGCAGGTGACTTTGAGGGAAATTTAAAACTGCTGAGCAGCTCTCATTTCTAGAAATTTGGACAAATTTATTAAACCTCCCAAAATATGACTATCCAGAGTTGGGACCAGATGTGTGTCAGCTCCCAAACAGACAAAAAACAACCTGAAAATTTATCCATGAAGCCAGGTAACACAAACCAATTAGTTAAACTGCAGGAATAAAGACATAAAAACCTGGATGAACTCTCTGCTTCTAAATTCAGATAAAACTGATGTTATTGTACTTGGCCCTGAAAATCTTAGAAATATGCTATCTATCTAAATGGACTGTCTCAGAGTGACCTTGAAAAACTAGCTTCTGCATGTATTACTTCTCAGCTGGACTACTTTACCTTAAATCAGCAACCACTGGATGATCAATATTTATACAAAACTTAATGGCTCTTTATTAATTACACAACATGCCAGTAAAGCTCTACGTGAAAATCTGTGAAATTCCAATTCTGTATCGCAAAGTATCCCCTAAAATATGTTCAGGTGAAACAACAAGAGAAGGAAGTAACTGCTGCATTTGAGAGCATTAAAGTTTAAAACATACCAAACCAGTAGTGTACTACAAAAGGTGAGTTCTCATCACACCGTTGATGATATTGTGTACATGGTGTGACAAAGTGTGGGTGTCTTTGTGGGATTTCAACTGGACTTAATGCCAAAAGTTGAAATGTCACTGGGGTGTTTTGAGTGAAACAGGAAATCCAGCCACAGAGGTTCTGAAACCCCCAACGGTCTCTAAGAACTATTTTTATATAGGAAATCATAACTCTTTCTTTAACATGCACCCTGCATACTGACAATATTTTTATAAGCTTTACTGCTTGCACTGATGACCTGTGTGTGTTTTGTTGTGCAGGGAGTGATTCAGCTGTAGTCTACACAGCAGTGAGAACTGAAGACATCAATTATGAACAAACAGAAATGCGATCAAACAGATCTGGAGGTACACATGCTCTTTGTTCAGTACAAAGAAAACAAGGCTACTTCCTGAAAAGTTTTCTCTTTGTAAAATATAAAGTGTGTAAGCAGCATGAGCCAGGAAAGCATGAAGAAGCAAAGCCCTCTCGTTCAAATAGACACACTAAAAGTCAATAGATTTCACCAGCAGTGAAAAATGTACTTACATCTGTTACTAGACTAAAAGTATCAATAACAATTTCTGGCCTCCTCCATCATCGGTAAAGGTCAACAGAAATCAACAGAATTATTAAGATGAAAGTTATGATGGTTCCCACAGATATCTGATCCTGTTCATGCTCGCCATTATCACCGTCTAACACAGACACACAGACCAGAAGTGATGTCGCAGCTGTTGGTGCACCACGAGCTTTGATGTTGTGTCGGCTTCTCTGTGACCTCTCGAATCTTTTTTTTAGCTTGTTGCATTTGACAGCGTGGTGCACGTGGGTTGAAGACACGAGTACAGGATTATATCAGTGTTTCCAATCATATCAGTGGAGAGATTGTACTGAGGACAAGACGGAAAAGATGAGACATTCTGGAGAAAAATTTGAAAAAGTCTTCACGATTTCATTTGACTTCTTTAACTCCTATGTACATTTTTATTTTATTTTATTTATTTTTTCCTAATGGCAGTGTTGTTCAGGAGATGACTGCGGTGTGTCTAGCAGACGTTGAGCTGTGGTGTCACACTTGCCGCATGACATAACCAATTCATCACATTGGTTATGATAAGGACTTATGAGTCCTACGTTAACCTTCAGTGTGAGCACAGGAAGTGGTGTGAAGAACTGTGACTGCCATGAGGGAGGCCACTGCCTTCCTGTTTGTTGCTGCTTCTTTTTGATCAGCTGCTGAAGAACATTTTGAGCAGCTCAGTCTTTTCAGATTCTTTACTTTAATATCTTTTGATTTTGACTCCACAAAGGAAATAAGAGACGCGAACATGTTACCTTTTAGAAACAACCCTTTTGCTTTTAGTGTATGAGTGCAGCTCAGCGATGTGTCACACACTAACCGCTCTGCTGACACTCTCTCCTTTGACATAAACTACTGCACCAGCAACTTCCTGCTGGGTTTCTTTCACATCAAAACCTTATTTGCGACAGCCTGGCTGAAACACTTTTAGCTAAAGTGGTTGTGGATTTAAGTCATTAGTGTAGTCAAATTTCAGAATTACATGAGTTTGAACCCACTGAGAAATGTTTCCTTAATGAAAATGTTTTTTGGATAAGTTATTTTCACTATGATTGATTTGATACAATTCTGTCAATTTGCTTCATATAAATATAACAGACGGGCTTAGTTTTATACTTTTGATATGTTGTTTGAACTGTGTGTATTTTGTGTTTTCAGACTTTGTACAAGAGCCAGATGTTTACTCCTTACTGAAGTAACCCACCAGTCCAACCACTGGAACCAGCTGCTGGTCTCAAACGTTTTAAAAATCATTATTTTGTATGTTCAAAAGCATGTTGTCCTCAACCTGCTCTTAACTGTCTTATGATGGCCATATTGGCAATATCTCTTCCATAATATAGAAATGATACTATGTATTTTATAAATAATGCATAATGCACTGTCTTTAATATTTTACTGTTTCCTGTTATATTTTATTTCCAAGTGTAAGACTGTTGTTGCCTGCTTTCTCGCAGGAACAATAAAGTTTGTTCTCACTTCTTGTTCTTCTCGTGTGGTTCTTTGGGTTTCAGAAAGAGCGCTGGGGGCTGGGGACAAATGTGAAATGTGGCTAACCGACTGCTGAGCAGGAACAACAACAAACACAAATAAACCCACAGCCGCAGACTAGAAGCAGCAGGAACATTAATCAGGGGCCTAAAACTTCGCAGGAAAGCTTCAGATAATTTATTACAGGCGCTGTTTGAACGAATGATGTTCCTCCATCAGGTGATGGTTTTACCTCCATGGTTCAGGCTGTGTTGATGTCGTCATAATGAAATGAGGACATGTTTGACATTTGTCCTCATTCAGTCAGAGATGAGTTGGAGACATTTAACATCTCATTATTTTCACAAAGTTATTGAGTTAAATTGTAAGTGGGATCTCTTATCTCAGTGTCATCTGCATATTAGATACAATTCCAATTGTAATAGAAACACTCTGTATGGATTTGATCAGGTAAACTAAAGCTCCAATAATGAGCTCAGCCTCTTCCTCATCAACAGGATTCACATCATGGGTTTATACACTACTTCATGATGTTTCAGGGTATATGTGGAAACAAAAAAATTATAAAAAAAATTAATGACTAAAAATGAATATTTTACCCAAACATTAATTTGCTGTTTCATGCAGACAAATGTAGACAAACTCGGGCTTTTCACAGATTTTATTCTAAACTTATTTGAGTCATTAGTTTAGATCCACATGGTTCCTCAGTTCTGTCAGTAGTTCTAAATTTGAACTCCTTTTTGGTTCAGTCAAAAATTATTTCTACTAAAGTCAATTCTGCCAAACAAATGCTCACACAAGTTGTGTTTCATTTTTAAGTGATGAATTTTGCCCAGTTTTCCCACAGTTTGATAAAATCTTCTGTTTTCCACCTTTCTGTCTATAAACAGGAACGAGCTGATTTTGTGTAAAAAACTTCATCATAATCTTTCACGTCCCTTCATCCATTCAAAAGGAATAGATATGGTTCAGTATACAGTAAGGTGTTTATACACTAAGCTCTCACACATAATCTAAGAAATCAGAAGACAGAAAAATGCGGATTGTTTCTCCTAAATTATCTGATATGATGATGAATTACCAACCATAATCTTCTTACCGTGCTTTGATAGAAACACAGTCTGGTGCTGCCATCTACTGACTCAGAAGTGCTCAAACAGCTGTGCTTTTTCACCCTGATTCATTTCCATCTCTTAGAATGACCATAACTCATATCCTGGACTTAGTGTTTTACTTAATATGACCACAAACCTGCCAATAAAGTCACCCAGATAGTGCTCAGGTACCTGATGCTACCAAAACCTTCTATAGAACTGCAAGTCTGACCATAGTAGCAGGTGTATGATGGTTCTTCAGGTCTCATCCACCAATCAGACCAGAGTACATTCACTTGTTAATGTTTGACTGTGTTATTGTCTTTACTTTATTCTTGAGCCCAGACACATATTATACATCACTTAATTTTAATGATTAATTGTCAGAATTGCAGTGACATTGTACAAAGAAACTAAATCTAGTTGGACCAACGGTGACTTACTTAACAGTATAGCTATGGATGTGAAATTATGTGAGTTAACAACATGAGATGACAACATAAGATTTTAAAACTTATGCCATAGTTGTATCTACTAGGAGGCTGATGGGTATAACTGGTTGCTGCCATTATTTTACTCCCATTCTTCGAAACCTAACAAATATTCTTTAGAGCAGCTCTTATTTACTTAAACACCTGCCTCCTAAATTGTCTTCATTATTTTTCTAGTAATCTTTGAGAAAAAGCCTCCTAGTGAAAACAGTGTGTCTAATGTATAGACATGAGTGAGGCCCAGAGATTTAAGAGACTCAAGTTCATTTAGAATATCAAAGGAGGGGTGGCTGATTAGCTGGCGGCACATCAGAGGATCTCTAGAGCGGATAACAGGCACTGATTCCCTTAAATGGATCATAAAAGGCAAAAAATGCACCGGTGGAACCATGAAGTAGACTAGACTCTCCTCCACTTTTACATTTCCACCTGTATCTCTGGCTCTGTCCACTTTCTTTATGGCCTCTGTAATGTTTACCTTGAATGACTCCAACACTGTGCATCTAGCCATGAAGTGTTTGTCAAGTCTTGTGAGTGAAGCACTCTTGTTGTTTTTGGTGTGCTGTGTTAAGAACCTGTGAGTGACTTCGAGTTGGTCACAGTGAAGCTGAACGGACTTGAGTGCGTTTTGCAAATCTTCTAGAGCTCGATTGATGCAGTCTGGACTCTGACTCCTGTCTTGCTGCTTCAAAGATGTAAGAGCATGGTTGTAATATGCAATAGCTCCCCAACAGTGATCCCTCTGAATGGCTTTAGTGTACATGTTGATGCTCTCTGCAAACTTCCCCTTTTCACGCAGGTTGTTACCAAAGCTAATGTAGTGGTAGAGGTTTGATGATGGTGATTCTCTCCGTCTGAGTTTCTGCCTCGCTGTGTCCAGGTCTGTTTTTAGTCGACTTTTCAACTCTTCAGTAGAATCTTTTGCACTGAAGCTTGTGAGTAGCCACATACCCCAAAACTCATTCAGAGCAGACAAATCTGAAGCTCCTGGTTTGTTGTTGCTGCTTGTATACAGATCATCCAGTACATCCAGATAATCATTGAAGAGCTCTTCTTTCTTCTTCATGTCTGGGATCTGAGACTCCAAGTAGCTTGATAGCTCATCAGCCACTGTGCTGTCTCTGACCTGTTTAATTATCTTTACTTCCTGCTGTGACGCTCCAGACAAAATATCCTTCAGCACTGAAGACATTTCTGCAGATGCTTTATTACTGTTGACTTGTTTATACAACCTTAATTGCATCACAAACCTAAATTGTTTAAGTGGCCTGACATCTGTTAGACTTCTCAATAAAGAATAAAGTTTCCTTATTGAAAGCAGCAATTGAAGAGATTCTGCCAGATGACTCAAACAGACAATGAGCTGAGCAGATCCTGGAGATCCTTGTCTGGCAGTTCGACCGAATGCCTGCAACTCTACACGAGCATTCTTTGGCAGGAAGGTCTGCACAACAAACAAACCTCCAGTTCCCTTTACTGTGTCAGAAACCTGAAGGTCTGTTCCACGGCCAGCGAGGTTTGTTGCTATGATGACTTCTCCTGCTTTAAATTCCTTGGAAATGATCACACTGTTGTCCATGTTGTTGTTTATATAAAGAGTTTTATTTGTGACTCTGTCTCCTAGACTGTGATGGATCATCTTTGCTCGTTTGATGGTCTCACAGATGATGAGCACAGCTCTAGGATCCC